ACAAAAGTATAGGCCAATGATACAAGAAACATTTTTTCTTATTCTTACCTAAGGAGTCATCTGCATAAGGACATAATCATAGAAGATCTCAGACAAAAATTGCTAGAAAAAGAAAAGGAAGTAGAGAGCTTGTCTCAGGGGAATACTTACCTTTCAAGAGAGACACAATATCTTTCTGAAGCTGTTGAACATTTAAGACAGAGAGTGGCAGAGCTGGAGGCAGACAAAGAGGAAGCATATGAGAACATCAGAGCATTACTGGCAAGGAGATCCATAGTTCCTCCTGCTAAGGTGGCATCCACACCTGCCACAGACTCTGACACACTGGTGCAGGTCAGACAATTTACCAGAGACTTGAACATTTCTAACAAGCAACTAAGATCCACAGTAAAACACCACTTCTCTGAAATGGAACATCAGGTGAAACAAATATTGAAAGCTGCTGTCAGTATAAAGGAGGCTGAAACTGATTTTTCCAAAGAGATTGAGGAGCTTCGTGCTTTCTATCGAAAGGAAGCCCTGGAAAGAAAAGTGCTTTATAATAAGCTGCAGGAGCTGTGTGGGAATATCCAAGTGTTCTGTCGCTGCAGGGGCGACTCACCAGAAAATCTGTGTTTTGAAGTCGCTTCTGATGAAGAGGTTGTTGTAAGCCATAAGGGAACAAAGAAGACGTTCTTCTTTGACAAGGTCTATTCCTCCAACGCTACTCAGGTATTTTGGAATAAACTTGCTTGCAGAATGTTTTTTGGCATGTCATTGTAATTATTTGGAAAACCTGAAAATTAATCCTCAGGTAACTGAAATTCCCAGTAACTGAAATCCACCATTACAAGTGTTATTAAAGAGGAAGATGATGTTGATGGTTGAAAGTTAAATGACAATCATCGTACTCCTCTGTATCAATTTAGACTCTACTATGCACACTGTACATTATCGCTTAAGTTGCACTGTAAAAGAAGAGAACTACATGATAGATTTGTTTAAATGCAACCAAACTATAATTTCTACTCAATTAAGAATCACAATTTACCTCTAAAAGATGAGGTACTGTAGGGTTTTATATGATTTACTATTAATCATATTTTGGGGACCTGGACTGAATCCAATTTACCATTCAACAGCATCACAAGGAGGAAGTACATTTATTTTTTCTGCATGGTAAAGAGTACATTGACATTTGATATTTGAATTTTAATAAATTTGCTCCAGAACAGCAGAACATCACTGGAAATTTCAGTGTTTTGTTAGGTATTATTTGTTAGGTACTGTATACAGACTACTGTAGAACCATAGTGTTTGTATTTGATTACTTTTGGATCAAAGCAACTATTAATGACAATGTTCTTATAACTGTAACACCGTGTAATGCAATCATAGAATAATAGAGACATTTAAGTCTAACACCCTAGCATTTTGTTGATTTTTCTTTGCAGGAAGAATTGTTTAACGGGATTCTTCCAATGATCACATCCTGTGTTGATGGATATAACATCTGTATACTGGCCTATGGTCAGACTGGCTCTGGGAAGACATACACTATGATGGGCACAAAAGATAAACCAGGAGTTAACATTAGGTAATTATAAATCAAACACAATATTACAGTATATTGTTGTGCTATGAATTGTAACTGTCTGTCACTTATAAGAGAACGACCTATATTATTCTCAAATCATGAAATGAGGATTCATAAAAATAAGTAAATATTTACTTTAAGTGTCATTTGACAAAAGCATTTTCAAGGAAAAGTACTGTATGCTTTACCTTTATGGCAATAACCATTAATGAAACAAGTCTCCCTACTGTATATTTCCCTACAGTTCATTTTCTGCAAGTCAAAAATTCTTTATTTAATTACAGTGTGTGTAATATGAATAGAGTTAAAAAAACAAATGAACACTTATTGTATTACTGTTCATCAGGAACGTTTTTCACCTTCACACCTTTCATTGTTCTTTTGTTATTTATACATAAATAATCT